CTCCCTTCCCTCCCTCCCTCCTTCCCTCCTTCCTTCCTTCCTTCCTTCTGCCCAGGAGGGATTCATTCCCCAAAGGTCCTCCCTTTGGAGCAGGGCTCAAGAAGCACGTTTTTTAACCTAACTAACATGATTGAGTGCTTTTGAGCTCCATCCATGTCCCTTCCCTCCATTTTCCTTTCCTAGGACAGCGTCCTCCATTTCTTCCTTCTGTCCAGGAGGGATCCCCAAAAGTATGACAGGCTAAGTCTTGCCATCTTGGCTTCTAGAGAGATCTCTGGCTTGATCTGCTCTAGGACCCACTTGTTTGCCCTTCACCATCCAAAAGGTCCTCCATTTTGAGAATATCTCAGAAGCACGGATTGATATTTATAGTATTAAGTGGTTTTGGGTTTTTTTTTGGTAAAGCTCTTTCTCTGTTCATGGGCCTTTTATTATTATTTTTCCCCCTGTTCCAGGACTGTGTCCTCCATTTCAACCTTCTTTCTGACCAGGAGGAATTCCCAAAAGGTCCTCCATTTTGAGCATGACTCAGAAGCATGGATTTACATTTCTGTATGCTTTGAGTTTTTCTTTGGTCAGGTCCAATTTTTTTCCTTTTCCAGGACACATCCTCCATTTCAACCTTGGTCCAGGAAGGATTCCCAAATGTCCCCCATCTTGAGCAGGACTGAGAAGCAGAAATGTACATAGTGTTTTGAGCTTTTATGTGGTCATGTCCTCCATTCTCCTTATCCAGGGCATGCCCTACATCTCAGCCTTCCACCCAGGAGGAATTTCCAAAATGTACTCCGCTTGAAGCAGGACTAAGAAGCAGGGATTTACATTTATATTAAGTGTTCTGAGCTTTTGTGTGGTCGTGTCCTCCATTTTCCTTATCCAGGGCATTTCCTACATTTCAGCTTTCCACCCAGGAGAAATTCCAAAAGGCCCTCCACATTTGATCAGGAGTAAGAAGCACAGATTTATATTTATATTATGTTGAGCTTTCAGTTGGGAATATTCCTACATTTATCTGCAATGTCCTCCATTTTGCAGAGCCTTGTCCTCTTTTGTGGTTAGGACAGCTGGTCCCCCAGCTCTGAACTGGGCAGGTCTGGGCTAGGATGGGGCTCACTGGCTGGAAGGTAAGACACTACAAAACACAAGCTAAAGACACTCATAGAAATGTAAATCCATGCTTCTTAAGTCATGCTCCAAATGGAGGACCTTTGGGAATTCCTCCTGGACAGAAGGCTGAAATGGAGGGCATGTCTGCGGAAACAGGGACCATCGCCACCTCCAGCCAAGGTTTGCCCAGGTGCCTTCTTTTCCCTTGGTCTCAGGCCAAAGGAAGGACAAAAGCTTTGGGCCTCAGGGTTGCAAGAGTCTGGAGTCTAGAAATAAGGGAATTCTTGAACAGATCAAACTCTGGTTTGTCTCTCTTGGTTAGATTTTATATTCAGTGTCATGTAGCACTAAGTAGACTGAGGGTGCATGTGTGTTGTTTGCCTTCAAGTCATTTCTCACTTATGGTGACCCTAAGGGTCATGGGGTTTTCTTGACAAGATTTATTCATCAGAGGTGGTTTGCCATTGTCTTCTCCTGAGGCTGAGAGAGTGTGACTTGCCCAAGACCACCCATTGAGTTTCATAGCCAATCTGGGAATCGAACCCCAGTCTCCCGAATTTTAGTCCAGCACGCAAACCACTACGCCACACTAGCTCTCAAATAGAGGGTGTATAAACTATTATTTTTTTCCTTAGTGGAATAAGAATAGAGAGGGCAAAGAAGCCTCTCTGTATACTTGGGGTTGCAAGAGGGGACAGAAGGCCCTCTCTTTCATCCTGGGAGACTTAGGGCCTTTGCAGACTGCTAGAAATAGTGCAAATTGAGTCCACTTTAACTGCCCTGGCTCAGTGCTAGGGAATCATGGGAATTGCATTTTTTTCTGAGACATTCAGCCTTCTCTGTCAGAGAGCTCTGGTGCCACAATAAACTACAGTTCCCATGATTCCCTAGCACTGAGTCAGGGCAGTTAAAGTGGACTCAATTTGCACTATTTCTGGCAGTCTGCAAAGGCCCTTAGGGCCTAAGCAGACTGCCAGAAATAGTGCACATTAAATTGAGGCACTGCCCTGGCTCAGTGCTAGGGAATCATGGGAACTGTAGTTTATTGTGGCACCAGAGCTCTCTGACAGAGAAGGCTCAATGTCTCAGAAAAAAATGCAATTCCCATGATTCCCTAGCACTGAGCCAGGGCAGTGCCTCAATTCAATGTGCACTATTTCTGGCAGTCTGCTTAGGCCCTTAGTTCTGAGGGCTCAGCCTGGCCAATAACTTCTACAGGGATGTTGTTGCTGCTGCTGCTGCTGCTACAATGTATGTATAAATAGAACAGGCATATCCTTTCTTGTAGTTTTGCCAGGCTGGTGGTGTTCCCATTTTACAGATCCACTGGCAGGAACTGAGGCTGGCGGCTGAAGACCTTTCCAAAACCACCTGGCAAAGCTCCTCAGGGCCCAGAAAGGACTTGGCGCCAGCTTTCCCCATCTCTGGCTCCCTCCCCATTGGAGGATGGTGGCTTCCTTGGTGGGCCCTGTGGTTTGGGTGAGGGACCTCCCCTGTACTTTGGTTTGGGGGTATTCCATAAGACACAAACTTGGTGAAACTGTTCATAAATGAGCAATGGTAGCATGATGTTCCAGGACCTGAAGCATCATTCCACAGTCCACTTGCTCAGTTACGAACACTTTTAGCATGACATTTACATTTATATTAAGTGTTCTGAGTTTTTATTTGGTCATGTCCTCTGTTTTCTTTTTCCAGATCATGTCCTACAATTCAGCCTTTTGTTCAGGAGGAATTCCAAAAGGTCCTCCACACTGAGGAGGACCAAGAAGCACAGATTTACATTTATATTAAGTGTTTGGGGTTTTTATTTGGGAACATTCCTACATTTTTCTTCAATGACCTCAATGGCTCTGTGCTAGGAAATTCTGGGAATGGTAGTTTTGTGAGATATTTAGCCTTCTCCGTCAGAGTGCTCTGGTGCCACAACAAACTACAATTCCCAGGATTCCCTAGCACTGAGCCAGGGCAGTTAAAGCAGTTTCAAACTGAACAATTTCTGAAGTGTGTTTTGAATCTCTGAATTGAATGGCCTGATTTTGGCCCACCACGGATCCTAGCTTCAGAGCAGCAGAGCCCCAGCTTGACCCACCAGAAGAGTTGTGTTTCCTCTGGCAAATGCCTTCCTTCATGGAAGTAGGACAGGAGGTTATTATGCTCAACACAGGCTGAGGAAGGAAGAGATCATTCGTGAAGCTCTGGGTTAGCTTTGGGAGGAGTCCCTACAAATGTTGCCAGACCAGATCTGATCCTCCTGGGTGCAGCCAGATATACTGAGGGTGTGTGAGATGTCAGGAAAGAGAAGGAGGATTTGCAAGGAAGTGACCGAAAGAAAAAGGGACTATGGGCCTTTGCAGACTGCCAGAAATAGTGCAAACTGAGGCCACTTTAACTGCCCTGACTCAGTGCTAGGGAATCATGGGAACTGTAGTTTATTGTGGCACCAGAGCTCTCTGACAGAGAAAGCTCAATGTCTCAGAAAAAAATACAATTCTCATGATTCCCTAGCACTGAGCCAGGGCAGTTAAAGTGGACTCAATTTGCACTATTTCTGGCAGCCTGCAAAGGTTTAATGGTTTCTTAGCACCAGGATAATTCCAAGGAGTGCCTCTTGCAATCCTCGTCCTTTGATGTTTGTCTCTTTTTTAGCCTTCACTTTATAGGATTGTCATGTTATTTTACCTGGCCTGCTGTGATACCTTTCTCTTTTGCCTGGCTTCCCACCACTACTTGGAAAGCTTCAATTCCTTAATTTCTGCATGTCATGCTGCTGTTGAAAGCACAGGGATAAGACAAGTAAAAGATGAGTCTGTCCTTGGCTTTGCTTAGGCAGGAATCCGGAAGCTATCTTGTTCCCAAGCCAGAGAGAATGGTATACTATTTAGCCACAGTTACTGTTTTCAGAGAGAGGCCTTGTGAACTGAAGACACAGTGTCCCCATCCAACCTTTCCAAACATGCTCCAAGTGGCAGTCTGGAGTCTAGAAATCTATCCAAATTGTGAATAAATAATTTCTTGAAGTGTGGTGCCGTTTACTAAGAGGGTTTATAAACTATTATTTTTTCCCTTAGTGGAATAAGAATAGAGAGGGCAAAGAAGCCACTCAGTATACTAAGTCAGAAGTAGAACTTGGCCAGTGTATCTAGATGCTGCTTCTGTAATAAAAGAGCAGCTATTACATTTCACAAGGTCCTACTGTTACATGTAGTAAGGAATTCTTTTAAAACAACAGGCATGGGGCAACTCTAGCGAGAACTAGGCCTGTCCATGTCATGTGCTAGTATATAACCCATGACAGATTTGCTATGTTCTGGGCAACAGATAGTTCTCATGTTTAAAGAGGTTTTTTGAAAAGGGATGTGTTTTTGCAAAAAAAACCTGTAACAATATTTTAGATAGAGGAAATCTATTACATGCTTAATCATCTGCACATCCTTTGGTATCTAGCATGCCATCACCAACCAGCGGTTTATTTCTGCCATTTTCAGAGCCAAATGAATAGATATGAATTGGGCTTTAAAATAGAATACACACACACACACACACACACATATTTGTTCCTCCACATTTGCGGCTTTGATTATTCACAGATTTCATTAATGTTTTCTCTAGGAATATCTAGGTCCTCCAGCACAACTCTATGGTCAACTTTAACCAAAAGTCGCAGTGAAGGACCTAGAGATTCCTAGACAGAACACTCAACAAGTCATTTGTAGCTCTTCCAGCGCAATTCTATGGTCAGTGTCTGGCAGATACCTCTCTAGGAATCTCTAGGTCATGAATTGCACTGGACGACCTAGAAATTCCTAGAGAGGTATTCTCTCAGATAAAAGCATAGTGTTTTTGCTATTTGCAGACTTTGAGTCTGCAGTATTGTTCCTTCATGGACCAGCAAGCAGGGAGGGATAAAATGATGCATGCAGCCATTCAAGCCAATAGGGCTTGGATATTTGCAGTTTTTCGTTTTCACGGGGGGGGGGGGAAGCTGGAACAGATCCTTAGTGAAGATGGAGGGGCAACTGTATATATAAAACCAGTAGGACAGGTGTATGGGGAAGGATGAATTTCATTCTTTGCAGTCATTCTGCCTCTAACCTTGAGATTATAAACAAAGCCAAATGAAAGTGTAAGAAACAAAGAAAATGGGAACTGCAGAATTGTTAATTGTTAATAGATCTGGCACAGATTCTTTTGCTTTTATGTGCATTTATTTCCTTAGAAAAAGAAAGCTGGTACAGCTGGGTTTTTTTACCCAAAGATTCATATCGTAGCAAATGAAGACATAGGGGCTATACAGACTGGCCAAAAGTGCCGGCCTGGGGGTGGATTGGGGTGTGGTGACTGCACACCGGCTGCCCCAACTCCGGCCCAATGCCGCTGTCATGCCACCCACCTAAATAGACGGCAGGCAGCATCAGGGCGCTCCCTTGGTGCAGCGTTCACACACGCTGTGCCAGAGGAGCACCGAAAAGCTGCTGCTACGGCGGCAAGGATGGCTTTCTTCGGCTCTAAAAAGGAGCGGCATTTGCCAGCTCTTTTTAGAGTGGCAAAGTGCCATATTGGGGCCACGGCATGCTGTTGCCGCGGCCCCAATCCGGCACTCCCAATGGCACCATGGAGCAGTCTGTAGGCAGTCTTTCAGGCAGTCTGTAGAGCCCCTTAGTTTAGATTATGTATTGTTCCTCTTCTGTTAGGATGCATTCCTGCCCACAGTCTTATTGGTTGATTGATGCAGTGTTGTGCCTTACATCCAACAGGCCTAAGCACCAATTATTGCAAAGTAGGTGCCATTGAACTCCACTAGGAATTGCTTAATAATAGAACATATGCCGTCTTCTACTTTTGGATTTTTTACTGGATTGAAGGAAGGGCATTCTCATAACATAACATTCCATACAATTTTAATCTCAGCAATGTCACCTGCCCACAATTACCTAGTAGCTGAGTCTTTATCTAGGTTCAGTATAAAAAAGAATGAGTCATACCTGATAATTGCCTTTTACTGAGACTGTAACAGCAACCGTAGCTAGAGGATTGGTCACCAATGTCTCATTTCAAGGTGTTGTAATTTAGGAGTGAGTGTTCCAGAATCCTGCACTCTTTGTCCCTGTTATCCAAAACTTTTATTCTGTTGCTGCTTTTGTATCTCTTCTTGCAGTTTTCATGTATTGATATTTCTTAACATATGTACCTACTGGACCTAGGGACATGTCTTACAATAAAATTGACCAACCTGTAGCCTCTGCAACCCAGTCAATCTATGAGGGCAAGAAGCTGGTGCCCATTCTTATTCTCCTGCCTTCATTAAAGTTCATCACATTTAGCTGCATGCACTGTCTAACACATTTTTTTTCTTTTCCTTCTTCTGCAGCTGGTTTCGATATCACAAGCACCACTGTGAATGGAGATGTTTTTCAGGTGAGACTCCATCTATTCTGATGGGCTAGGCAAGGAGGCAATTCATGGTCTTTGGAAGCTTTCCACAGTTTCTCTCACTCTACATATTAGATTTCAACTTCCATGATCCTTTATCAATTGTCATGTTAGCTGGGGCTACTGGAAACTGTAATCTAAAACATTGAGGAGGGGAGCCAG